TCCCCTGCCCCGTGCGAGGAGCTGTAGCTAGGAGACCCTGCCCTGTGACCCCGTGCTCCGTCTTACACCTGACCTGGAGACCCCGGGTTCACGCTGGGCCCTCAGTTTGCTGCAGAAACATCTGTGTGTGTAAGCTTTCTCTTACAGGCCGTGTGGAAGAAGAGCCCGTGCTGGTTCTCTGGGGCGAGGGGAGCCAGGCTCCAGGCACTGATGTGAGTGGGGGGCCCCAGTTGGGAAGGAGAACTGGTCTATTCCCTCTGCATCTGCCTTCTGGGTGGCCTGGACTTGCCTTTCTCCCTGCCTAGGTCGGTCTTTGCAGATATGGGTTGACTATCTTCTTTCCTTGCAACTTAAGTGCTCCAGGTTGTGCCTAGGTATTGCTTTTATCTTTAAATTTTTTTTTTAAAGATTTTACTTATTTATTCATGAGGGACACAGAGAGAGAGAGGCAGAGACACATGCAGAGGGAGAAGCAGGCTCCGTGCGGGGAGCCCGATGCAGGACTCGATCCCGGCACCCCAGGATCACACCCTGAGCCCAAGACAGATGCTCAACCACTGAGCCACCCTGGTGCCCTGGGTATTGCTTTTAAAATACTTGTTTCCCAGCCGAGCAGTGTGATTAGGCACAAAGGTCACACCAGGGGGATGTTGACAAATGGAGTTTTCACTCTAGGTGAACTTATTCTAATTAGGACTAATGAAAGGATTAGTTGCAGACGCCAGAAAACTCCAATCCAACGTGACACATAAACACAAAGCGGGGCATCCCTACATTGGACTTTTACTCGGCAATAAAAAGGAACAGACCAGTGAGAAGTACAACAGTGTGGATGGATCTCAAAGCATAGTATTGAGCACAGTAAGCCAAACACAGGAGTCTATACTGTATGATTCCATTTATCTGAAGTTCTAGAACAAGCAAAAGTCTGTGGTGATAGAAACCAGAGTATGGGGGCGGGGGGTGGGGGGTGATGAAAATGCTCTAATTTTGATTGCAGTGGTGGTTACAGAGGTTTATACATTTGTCCCAAACCACTGAACTGTGTATTTAGGATCTATGTGTTTTACTATGTGTAAAATATGCCTCAACTTTAAAAAAGTAGCTTAGCTTAGGCAAGAAAGGGAATGCATTGGCTCTGGTAACTGAGCGGTGCAGAGGAACGGTTTCAGGCCTGGCTTGGTCTAGGGCTCAACTGCTGCTACCAGCATTTCTCAGCTGTGTGCCCCCTGGATCCGTATTCATTTCTGGGGAGACACTCCCTCACTGGTGGTAAAGGCCAGTGGGGAAAAATTATGGCATCTTCCTGATGGGTTCTTTTCTTAAAATATATTTTATTAATTTACTATTTTTAAAAGATTTTTTATTTATTCATGAGAGACATACAGAGAGAGAGGCAGAGACACAGGCAGAGGGAGAAGCAGGTTCCCTGCGGGGAGCCCGACGTGGGACTCGATCCCAGGACCCCGGGATCATGCCTTGAGCCAAAGACAGATGCTCAACCACTGAGCCACCCAGGGTGCCCCTAGACTTTTAAAAATTTATTTGACAGAGCGCACACAGGCAGGTGTTAGGAGAGGAGGAGGAGCAGAGGGAGAAGCAGACTCCTTGTTGAGCAGGGAGCCTGACTCCGGGGCTCGAGCCCAGGACCCCTGGATCATGACCTAAGCCCAGGGCAGACGCTTAACCAGCTGAGCCCCCCAGACGCCCCTTCCTGATGGGTTCTGATTATCCTGTGTCAAGTGCTCACTCTGAGTCCATCTCAAGGGCCAGGGCCCTTCAATTTCCAGCTGACGAGGCAGGAGATCAATGTTCTTCCTCTTTGGAAAGGAGATGGGGGTGCATTGAGTTACCATCCCTGACTGTCGAGGGCTGCGAGGTGGGAGAGGAGAGGAGTGGGACCAGAGCACCGTGCCCGAAGGGGATGCTCAGCGATGCTGGGCAGCCCTCAGCTGGGAAGCACAGAAGGGGTGTCTGGGGTCTGCAGGTGAGCCGTCCCCACATTCCCCCTGCTTTCCTACTGCTGGCTGCTTCACAGCTCCCACCTGAGAGTGGCAGCAGGGACATGGGCTTAAGTCCTGCTCCCACCCTCCCCGCCCCAAGAATCTTGAGTAGCTCACTTAACCTGCAAGCCTCAGAAGTGTGGGATCTCGGAGGCTGTACCAGGGACCATATCAGCCGGGTGAGGAAGTTGAGGTAAGTACTTAGTGTCCTTGCTCTTCTGGGTGTTGGCTGCTGGATCATCCCAACAGCATTTTAAAGTTGATGCAGATGCCCACACCTTAGTCTGGGGAGGGAACCAACAGACTCCGCGTGGCAGAAAGACTCACTTCACTGTAGGCCTTGTAGACCATGATCCTTGAGGCCCGATAGTTCAGCCTCCCCACTCCCTCACCCACCCCTGCTTCCAGTTCCTAGGCTAAACAGGTGTGGCCGGTGCTGCCTGGGACCCTGGCACAACCCCTCCAGTTTGCAGTCGCTCTGTATCCTGTTGTGAACCCACCAAGAACGAAGGCATGGGCGAGGACTGTGGGTCCCCACCAGCAGGGGCAGGTGGACAGCTAGCAGCCTCCCGGGACGCCAGGGGGTCTTTACCGCAGTCTTGCCCAGATTTGCCTCACAGGGCTGAGAGAAGCTTCCAGAGAGTCTTGTGGGTTCCTAGTGTTTCCAGCTGGCCCAGCATTCCTACCTGTCAGTAAGAAGTAATGTCATTTTGCTTCCAATTACTCAGTCATATCTAATCCTGAGCATTCCTACGTCTTATCTAGAAACTTGACTCCGCATCTGTGGGCCAGCCAGAAGTTGGGTGAAGTATAGGAGCAGGAAAAAGTTCTTATCCGTGAGCTGGAATGGCTGCTTATCTTAGCCCTGGGAATATGTACATAAAGGAATTCGTTATTAAAGCTTCTCTGTAAAATGGAACACAGCTTGGGTGAAACCGTGTGATTTTGAGTCGGATCAAACCATCCCTTGATAGTAATTTTGGAAAGTGGAAAGGGAAGAGGAGGCCTGTTATTTTAGAATTCTCATATTCAGTTAGCTTCACATTAAAGACATTTCAGTCTCCTATCTGCAAAAAGACAGTTCCCTGATTTTTATTTTATTTTTTATTTTTTATTTTATTTTTTTGATTTTTATTTTACTTTTTTTTTTATTTTTTTTTATTTTTTTTTTTATTTTATGATAGTCACAGAGAGAGAGGCAGAGACACAGGCAGAGTGAGAAGCAGGCTCCATGCACCGGGAGCCCGATATGGGATTCGATCCCGGGTCTCCAGGATCGCGCCCTGGGCCAAAGGCAGGCGCCAAACCGCTGCGCCACCCAGGGATCCCTTGATTTTTATTTTAAATCAGAGGTCATTGAATGGTTTGAAAGGGGTTAGCTGTAGGGCCTTTCCTTTTTTTTTTAATATTTTATTTATTCATTCTCGAGAGATACAGAGAGAGAGGCAGAGACACAGGCAGAGGGAGAAGCAGGCTCCTCGCAGGGAGCCCGATCTGGGACTCGATCCCAGGACCCAGGGGTCACGCCCTGGGCCGAAGGCAGGCACTCAACCACTGAGCCACCCAGGCGTCCTGTGTAAGACCATTCCAACTTGGATTCTGAAAATCTGTGTAATTTGTACTTGGGGGGCTGCATGGGGGCAGGTGGGTGGTGACCTGCTGGCAAGTGAGAACGAGATCTTTGTGGAAGGAGGAACGGAACTCGTTTCTGACCCACTGGTCCAAAGGGCACTGATACGGGGAATCCCTGAGAAGATTAGGGTTCTGAATAACTTTTCCCTCGTTGGGGTGAAGGCCATGGCTTGGGCAGAGGTGGGGCAGAGCTGAATGGCAGGGGAACAGCTGCAGAGAAAGGGCGTCTCCTCAAGGAGTGCTGCCCACCAGCCACCCTGTGGGGGTAGCCACAGCCCCCCCACCCACCAATGGGCAGAATGTAAAAAAATAAGCTTCAAAAGGAATGAAGCCCTCCCTCAGCTCCCAGGGCTTTTACCTGCTGGGGTGGGAAGCACACTAGTAGGTTAAAATGAAACTTTTACTCTGATCTTAAACTTTTCGGAATGAAACCCTGCAGTCCAGTTACTCTAGGAAACAATGAACAGACCGTCCACTGAAGAAGAAATTCAAGTGATCAGTTAATAAATGAAAGAAAAAGTTTACCAATAATAATCGCAAATTGGAAGAACAGGACACCTGTTTTTGCATATCAACTTGGCAGAGATTCTAAAAAATACTTTCCAGGGGTGCGGGAGGCTGCTTACAAAGGTTGGCCCCTCCTTGGCATCTGGGAAGCGGCTCTTGAAGAGTTCCCTCTATCCCCTGATAATAAGATTGGCACAAACCATGTGGTTTATGATGGATACCTCCTTTCCTTCTGGGAGTCTAGAATCTGGGTACGCACTAGCAGGGGGTGCCTTTGGGATCAGTCCCCAGGAAAATTCCCAGGCATTGATTTTTCTAATGGGCCAACATGGGTGGTGACATCCTATACACGGTCGCTGCATTTCTGTCGCTGGGGGGAGAATATGTTCTATGTGACCCTTCATGGGAAAGGAAGCCCGCGCGTGGATTGCTCCAGCCTCTACCTGTGTCTTTCCCCCTGTGATCCAGCTGTGTCCTTACTAGGTTGCTGTCATGCAGCTGTGAGTGCAGTTACGTGCTGAGTCCTGTGAGTCCTAGTGAGTCCCCGAACACGGGGCTGGTCTTGGGAACTCTCAGCACAGCAGTAACGTGAAAAGTAACACTATGTGTAAAATACGTGGGCAGGGGGGGCCAAAACAATGTATTTGGAATCGCGTTGCCGTAAGTGACTTTTGTTTTCTTTTTTTTTTTTTGTTTTTTTTTTTGTTTTCTTTTATACTTTTCGATATCTTATGTCTTTGCCGTCTTGATGTTACTTTTCAGAACAGGTTAGTTTTGAAGACGTTTCTGTTATCGTAAAGCTGTCATCGGTTTTAAGAGTGGCGGACCTCTAAAGGCTTCTCTCTCATTTTCCCTTAGGGTTGCAATCCCCTTGCGCAAACTGGCCGGAGCAAACTGCAGAATCAGAGGGCTGCCTTGAACCAGCAGATCCTGAAAGCCGTGCGGATGAGAACGGGAGCAGAAAACCTCCTAAAGTAAGTCACTGCTACTCCTCTGCCTCAGTGGGGAGTCCGCCTCTCCCAGGGCCTATCCATCATCCCTAAACTCCCCGGCCTGCCCAGCTTCCACGCTAGCTCTTGGTTTTAAACTCTGGGGGTTCCTTCCTTGTTCCCAGTGCCTGGAGCAGGCCCTTCCTGGCCTAGAGCTTGATTATGTTAAAGACAAGTATTTTACCCAGGCTGTTTGTGTGATTGGGAGGCGGGGAGAGGGGGAAGCCACTGATCACATTCCTTGCTCTCTATGGGAACTTGTCTGTCGTTTTCTGTGGCCTAGTGGAGACACTGTGCCTGGCCTAGAATCACTGCTCGGTGACAGTTCGATGTATAAAGGAAAGGAAGGCCGGAGGAAGGGAGTGGGGCATTTTTCTTGCCAGTGTCCGTCCCTCTAATACAGGCCCAGTACAGCCCCGTGGCCTTGGGGCACTCGTTATTATGCTCTGGTGGCAAAATAGTTACTTATCAAGCGTAGGACTCAGTGACACTTCACCTGTGTCAGAGGCGGCTGGGAGCCCTCCCCACACCCTTCAGTGAGTGCAACGTGGGACACTTTGCCAGCTTCCTCTTCTTTATGAAGAACACAGACTTTCTTCTTCCGCCAGAGTTCCGGGGGGTGACGTGTGGCAGCCCTCGTGCCGCCTCCTGCCCTGGGTAATCAGGGCACGCACTGTGCCTGCTGCCCGGCCGAGTGAGACAGGTGCCTCCTGCAGCCTCGGAAAGGGACGTGGGGCGCTCGTGGGGACCTGGAACCCGGCAACCTGGCCGGGCACCTGGAAACCTGGCAGGATATGGCTGTTGGGTGTTCCCAGTGGGTCAGCTGCGCTGTCGGAGGCCTTTGGGCGCCCAGAGGCTGCTCGGAGGTGGTTGGGAAAAGCAAATACACCAAGCCAGGTGTTCGTAACAGCGGCAGTACTCTGACGGTCCCAGGTAGGCACAAGGAGTGTGATCAGCTCCTGCACACGGGCCGTTCACCTGAGCACCCAGGGAAGGCAGGGGGAGGGTTTCTGATCATCACTTAGCATAGCTTTGCGTCTGAATCCTTCTGTATGTGCTCCCTGGGAAAGATGTCTGAGATACTAAGTGGGGGAACAGAAAGATGCACGACACCACACCCTGCATATGTGTTTTGGGGTTTTGTGCATTTGCTTTTGTGCAAATATACGTTTTCCAGAAAAGGTGGAGAAAGAAGCCTTGAGAATCATCTCTTGGGAGCAAGACCCAGGATGGGGGTGGAGGTGACTCTCACTTGTCATGTTACCCCCTCCGTGTTTGGATGTTCTTTTATGGCCTGTATGACTTACTTTCATTCATTTTTATTGTGAGCTCCTGCAGAGGCCCAGAAGATGGAATCACATACCATTGGCTCAGGAACGACGGTGCTGTGCCTTGTGTCGGCACCGATAGGTGTGGACTAACAGAGAACACGAGTCCTGGGGCGGCCAGGGTTCTGGGAACCTCTTCTCTAGCTACTCCTGTAACAGGATGGAAGCTAGGTTATTACTGGAAGACACTGCGAAACTTAGGATATTTCACATTTCACCTCCTTATTATTATTATTTTTTTAAAGATTTTCTTTATTCATGAGAGACACACAGAGAGAGGCAGAGACATAGGCAGAGGGAGAAGCAGGCTCCCCACTGACTAGGGAACCTGATGCGGGGCTCGATCCTGGGACCCTGGGATCGTGACCTGAGCCGAAGGCAGATGCTTAACCGCTGAGTCACCCAGGTGCCCCCCCCCCCCCCGCCCGACACTTTTTTTAAAAGTTTATTTACTTATTTAGTTTTAAGTCTTCTCAATACCCAACCTGGGGCTCGGATTCACGACCCTGAGATCAGGAGTTGCACTGCTCCACCGCCTGAGCCAGCCGGGCACCCCACAACATTTCACCTTTTAAAATGTCTGGCGGTGTCCCTGTCCCCAGGGAAGTCTGGAGCTGGGGACAGTCAGGTGCACAGTGCAGTGGGCTTCATGTGGCCGGTGTAGCTGGGGAGAGGTCCTTGATTTCGGGAGCGGCGGCCCTGGGCTGGCAAGGCTGCATGCATCCCCATCCTGCACGCCTCCCGCCCCTGTGGGAGTTGTGGCTGCCTCTTTTGATTGACACTTTGATGGGGCCAGCTCTGTGGCTAAGGGGGACAGGCTGGCAGCCTGGACCCCGGCTCCCCAGGAGTGGGCTGCAGTTGATTGGGCTGCTCGGTCACCCAGGAAATGAATTTGTTGAGCACCCAGGAAGTGGCAGGCAGCGTTTGAGGTCCAAGAGGAGAAGGCCGCAGGCAGTTCAGACGAGGCCCTGCTTTTACAATGCTTGATCTCTTGTGGGGGGACCTTAACACCCTGGAGACAAGTCCAGTCATGTCAGGGGCCGTGTTTTCCAGGGCGTCGATGAAAGGGAAGTGTGACAGCGTGGCGCAGCCTTAGGAACAGGCCATCAGGGAGGCCCTCTCTGGCGGGGGGGCCTTGGCGTTGCTAAGGCAGGAACCGGGGTGGTTTGGCTGCTTGTTCTTTTAACGGCAGCAGCAGCAAACAGGCTCCGAAGCCCAGTGGTTCAAGCCCATTGTCGGGTTGGCAGTTGTGGAGCTGGCCGGGTAGGGTGGGGTTGTTAATGATTTTCGTAGTTGACCTAAAAGTTCAAAGTGGCCCTTTCTGGAGAATGTTGTGAGAGAGAACCCTAAAGGTATTTATTAATCTGACTCTGGCAGCACCAACGGTTTCCCGAAAACAAATAGGGCGCCCAGCCAAGTCCTGTGGTTGTCCCCGGGTGGCTGGTTAGGTGGCTGTCCCTGCTGCCGAGGGGTAGTTTCCATCATAAATTGGGCCCCCGCTGTCCTGTGTGTGCACCTGCCTGCTTTCAGGTTCTCAGTGTCGCTCCAAGGCCCTCAGATAAAGATAGAGTGTTTGGGTGGCACCCGGGTGGCTCCGTTGGTTAAGCGTCCAACTCTTGGTTTCGGCTCAGGTCGTGATCTCAGGGTCGTGGGATCGAGTTCCATGTTGGGCTCTACGCTCAGTGTGGAGTCTGCTTGAGATTCTCTGTCCCTCTCCCTCTGCCCCTCCCCACTTGCGCGCGCTCTCTCTCTCTCAAATAAATAAAAATAATTTTTTAAAATGTATTTTATTTTTACTTATTTATTCATGAGAGACACACAGAGAGAGGCAGAGACACAGGCAGAGGGAGAAGCAGGCTCCATGCAGGGAGCCCAATGTGGAACTCCATCCCAGGACCCTGGGGTCACACCCTGAGCTGAAGGCAGGCACTCAACTGCTGAGCCACCCAGGCACCCCAAATAAAACCTTAATAAAAAGAGCATTTGGGTGGGTGTCGCCCCAAAATGCAGGAATGCAGGAGTCCCAGGGCTTACCTGCATTGGTAGGGGCTGTGACGCTGGACAGGCATTGAGAGGAGCCAGGCTTTGTACCCTTTCAAGGTCTTCTCCTCCTCTGAGCCTTGTCCACCCAGAATCCATGAGCTTCCTGGAGTTTTACTGGGAAGGCATGAGGTATTTTAAAGTTACTTTTCTAGGCTAAGCAAGGACTATATTCTCTCTCTCTTCCCAACACCCTGCCCTCCCTTGAGGAAAGCTGGGGTGGAAATGTGATGATGTTTCTCTGAAACAGTGATGGTCTTTGTGAAATTTATTTTATTTTATTTTAAAGATTTTATATTTTATTCATGAGAGACACACAGAGGCAGAGACACAGGCAGAGGGAGAAGCAGGCTCCATGCGGGGAGCCCGATGCAGGACTCGATCCCGGGACTCCGGGATCACGCCCTGAGCCCAAGGCAGGTGCTCAACTGCTGAGCCGCCCAGGCGTCCCTGGTCTTTGTGAAATTTAAAGCAAGCTGCCATGTAGTTCAGTTTAACTAATGGGGCTTTTGTGCCAGGGCAGGCCATTTAACGTCTTTGGGCTTCGGGTTCCCCTCTTGCACCCCAATACCTTCTGGGCTAGAGCAGGGCTGGCCCACTCTGAGGCTCACAGGGGCTGGAGGGGCTGGGCCCAGTCTGCGACGTAATAGGGAGTGGGGGGGACAGTGGCGAAGTGCAGAGCACACACTCTCTGGAGGGGCCGCCTGCAGTTTGCCTCATATGGAGGGGAGGGCTATGGTTGCTCATTCTGCGGGTTTTTTTGTTTTTGTTTTTGTTTTTTGTTTTTTTTTTTTTCAAGAGAAGATAGAGATCTGACCCTTTTCTCTCCCTTTTTAAAAATCTTCTGATAGTTGAATTTTTAAATATTGGCACCTACTTCGATGGGGGAGAAAGAACCCCCTGAGGACCATGTGAACAATACCCCCTGACCTCCAGTTTGTAACTTCTGGTCCAGCAGGTCATGAAGTCCTGGGTGGCGGGTGACCAGGGGTAGCCTCAGCTGTAACAAGAGTGACTTGGGGTTAGTGGATGCTCACACCATTGGTTCTGATGGAGGCTGGCAGGTGTCTGTGTCGTGGGGTGTGTGAGCCCCCCGTGGCCTTTGGGGCTCATGGCAACCCTGAGGCCTGCCTTCCTGCACTTCTCCACTGGGAGCCGATGTCCTGCCAGACTGGCTGTTCTGCTGCCCTCGGGGGGTGGCCACATGAGGCCACCAGGTGGTACTCGCAGGATTTGGGGTCAGATGGATTAAGGTCAAACTGTACTAGTAAGGTCTCCAAAGCTGGTGCACGTCTTTGGTGCTCGTCAGTGTGCCTCTTCCTGGTGGGGGGGTGGGGTGGGGGACAATTTTACTGAAAGACTTGGGAGAAAAAAGTTGCAGTGAAGCGAATGGAATTATATGGGTCAACATTCAAAATTCACGTGTGTCTTTAAGACAAAAGGCAGGATGTTAAAGAAATTTTGGACTTGGAGCAGAGAAGCAAGCCGTTATCGCATAGGGGCTGCTTAAGGTGTAGAGGGCCTCAGCGGCTCCAAATTCAGGGGAGGAATGCGTGGATGCGGTCAGTACCCTCAGGAAATAATTGAATGTGGCCTTCCGTCCCCGTTCACGCGTGT